GGGATGGTGTTGTGGAACACTGGGAATCCAAGGCTGAGGAATAGTCAGCTTGGAGAGAGGGGCTATGGATCCAGACTGGAAAGGAATCTTAGAAAGCATTGTATAGGTGTGGTGACTGGTTCGATTCATTTTATGTGCTACTGTAACGGAATACCTGAGTTGGGAAACTTATAACAAAGACATTTTCCTTGTTCTTCATATTATTCTATTATGTATTTATTTATATGCGCATGTGCAGATTTGCATGCATGATCATATATTGTGACTGTACATCTATGCACACTGTATGAAAGCCAGATACCTCAGGTATCCTTCCAGGAGGCATCCATCTTGGTTTTTTTTGAGACAAAGTCTCTCACTGAGTCCTCTGGCTTGCTGCTTTGACTAGGGTGGCTGACTGTGAGCCACAGGGATCTCCCCGGCTGTGTCTCCCCAGCTCTGAAGTTACAAACACACACCACCACAATCCACCACGTCGTTTTGAGACAACATCTCACTGTGTACCCAAGGCAGATCTGGAATGTATTACATAGACCGATACCTTGAACTCACAGAGGTTTGCCTGCCTCTTCCTCCCAAATGCTGCGATGAGAGGTGTGCATCACTGTGCCCAGCCCACATCCAGGTTTTTATGTCAGCACTGGTGATCCACTCAGGTCCCCAGGCTTATGCAGCAAGCATTTTATTGACTGAGCCATTTCCACAGCCCTAGACAAGAATGACATTTGGTGCTTGAGTCTAGCGGCCGGGAAGTCTAAGATTGAGGTTACACACCGTGAGCCTTCATCATTGCCATGTGACCTGGGAGAAAGCATCACATTGGCCAAAGAGGAAAAGCGACGCAACTCAGGAGTCTCAGGTTCTTGAGTCCTCAGTGTTGACAGCATAAGGATAGGGTGTTCCCACTGGCCTTACTTCCCAACATGGCGCTACACAACGAATTAAGTTGCCAGCAAAGGTCTTAGGGGATATGTTTGAGCCACAGCAAGATGCTGCCAAGCTCAGCAGAGTTCTATAGAGCCCACTCACTGGCATTTGCCCTGGACCAGAGGACAGTTCCTTCCCCACCTCTGTGGTCTGCACAGGTTGTTCATGGTTAAATGGGCCTGGAAGTTCTTTGAAAGGGGTTCAGCATCCAGTATCCCAGAATGAGAGGAGGTTTCTGACCTAATGCATCTCCACTAGAAGAGAAGGATCCCAGGAGAAAGGGTGGGGCTCAAAGACCCACGTTCACTAGCAAGCAGGACTACTACCATGGTTAAGCACTGAGTGTCTTCCAAAGGTTTGTAGGTGAAATCTGGATCCTCAGGGAGGTGCTGTTACAGACCTTTAAGATGTATGGTTTGATAGGAACTCCCAAGGTTACTGTGGGTGTGCCCTCAAAGGGGCTCTCTTCTCTCTGTCTCTCTGTCTCTCTGTCTCTGTCTCTCTGTCTCTGTCTCTGTCTCTCTCTCTGTCTCTCTCTCTCTCTCTCTCTCTCTCTCTGTCCCTCCCTCCCTTCCTCCCTCCTTCCCCCTACTCCATGTTATATCCCCATTGCCAGTCTCATAAGGCAACCGGATCTTGGGCCTGAACTTCCAGAACCATGAGCCTAAGCAGATCTATCTGTACTTATTTCATAAGTGTCCCACTCCAGGTGTTTTCTTATAGTGATGTGAGCCTGACAAACACAGCGAAACAGCTGTCCGTCCGTCCGTCTGTCTGTTCTCTATCCCAAGAGGCTCAGGATCAATATGGTTTCGTTGCAGCCCAAACCAGCCTCTGGTCACACACATGGGAAAGAGAAGCAAGAAGATGGACACTCTCCTCGTTCCTAACCCCTCTACTGGCTTTTCCCCTTCCCCCAAACCTGGAAGCCTGGGGCAAGCCACTCCTAGGGTTTTGTGTTCACTCTTGCTCACTCTGTGCATCTCAAGTCGCTAGTCCCTGGGAATGTATTCACTAGGCCCTCTCATCGCCCATGAGCTACGTGGCTAAGGAGCCTGCTCTGGCCTTTCTACAACAGAGGATTCTTGGTGTCATAGGTGAGCAAAATACTTTTTTCTTTTATTTTCCTTTTTTCTTCCTTCCTTTTTCCTTTCTTTTTTCCCCTTTGTTTCTTTGTTTCTTTCTTTTTTCTTTCTTCCTTTTTTAAACAGGATGTTGCCAAGTAGCTCTGGTGGGCCTAGAACTCACTGTGTAGCCCAGGCCACCTACTTCTGCCTCCACAGTGCTGGATTAAAGGTGTATGCCATCATGCCTAGCAACTCTGACCCCTTACCAACAGATTCAAGGGAGGAGAAGGGAACATGGCCCACTCCATCTACCCTTCTCTGTGCCAGAGCTTCTAGAAGAATTCCTTGAAAGCCTGAAGACAGCCTGCTGATGAGCTAAATCTAAGTAATGACCACTGGTTCTGTCAAAACAGTGAGCCAACTGTGCTTTCTGAAGTCACCGTCATTATACATATATGCACACCCTCTTGCAAAACATGAAAAATTCATGCATTGTAAGCACCACACTGGGTAAATGCTGCTAGTTATGAATGACCAAGTCCCACAGGAATGGCCCTTTTGTGATAAATGAACCAGAGAGGGCTGCTGAAAGCCTGTGCCAGAACCAACCTCCAGAGCCAATGACCAGGAAGCTGGGGCAGAGACGGATTTGCAGGGGTTAAAGCTAAGGATTGGATCTGGTGCTTTTGTCTTCAGATTGCCCCCTCTGTGTTCCCTAGATTTGCAACTTAGAGTTTATGTTAAATTTAGGGTGTGTAACAACAATCGCTTGGGTCACCCAGCCAGTGGCTCCTCCATTGTCATGCAGAGGTCACCTCATCCGCCACTTTCGCGTGTCCTCTTACAGATTCTCCAGGTGTGGTTCTGTTTCCTGCAGATTGTCGGGGTGACCCTACACCGTGTCTGACTTGAGAGTGCTCACTCAACCTCAGTGCAACGTGGTCTTGACTTTCACCAACGTGCTCCCATGAGGACTCATTTTATACTTACCCCATTTTTACTACAAGGTACAATATTGAAACATCTGGGTTAGGGATGTAGCTCAGTGATAGAATGCTTGTTTAAGCACACACTAGTCCCTGGGGTCAGGCCCCAGCACTACAAAAGAAAGAAAAGATAGATAGATAGATAGATAGATAGATAGATAGATAGATAGATAGATAGATAGATAGATAGATAGGCAGATAGATAGGCAGATAGATAGACAGACAGAGCTGGTGGTCATGGTGGGTCACATCTGCAATCCCAGCACCCAGGAGGCACTGGGATTGTCATGAGTTCAAGTCCAGAATGAGATTCTGTCTCAAAAAAGAATGAAAAAAAAAAGAAAGGAAAAGGGAAGAAAGAAAAGAAGAAAGATAGAAAAAAAAAGAAAGAAGAAACTTTTCAATTGTTCTCTTGGAACAAAACAAGCTTTTTGGATTTAGATTCCAGTCGCCTCTTAGTGAAATATAAATTCAAAAATCAGAGGATGGGTGGGTGGGTGTAAATTAAGTGATTTTTTTTTTCTAGAAGTGGTCCTAAGAAAGTCAAAAGCTAGAACACTCTGCTGCGTTAGGACACAGGGACTCGGTGTCCCTGTCATTGCCCCAGAGCTGCCCCCTGAGGCTTTCTCTGTGGCATTCTCTGGGCAAGCCCCGCAGTGAGCATGTGCAAACTGCCCCCAACTTCTCCAGTGGCTGTCTGAAAGGAAGCACTTTTAGGACTAATCTTCCTCCTGCCCTAGAAGGGAAGGCACATGGAGATTCAATATAAAGTCATTCATAGACTGGTTTCTGATCTTCACCACGGGCATGGGAGAGAAGCAGCAATTGAGCATTAAGGCACTGTGCACTATAAATGATCAGCTGAGACATTAAAGCTGTGAAAAAAATACAGGAGTATAAACGTCACCCTGAAACAGAGGGACATGTGTGTGAAAAGACCACTCGATTTGAAATATGCACTGCTGTGATTTACTGGACCATGTCAAACATTTTCTATGACCACGGATAACCAGGCTAGCCTTCTTTGTTTCTAATCAGGGAGTCTTGTCTCCAAATGCAAGCCTTCTTCCCCTCCCATCCTCTTTTTTTCTTTTCCTTTTTGGCTCTTTGAATATCATCCACGTAGTCTCTCCCCATTCCCAAAGTGCCTCCCAAACAGCGCTGGGGAAGCGCTCTGGGAAGCCCTTGCCGAGACACTTAGCAGAACTTTGTTCTCCACATGGGCTATCTAGCTTTTCTCGGTGACATCACGGCCTCCCCGACTCTTAACTGGCTGTGAACCGAGTCCAGGCACTGGTGACAGGCTCAGGGCGCTGGCCGTGGTCCTGACCTCAGAGCTCAGGACCGCGGTGCGGAGCGCTCCGAAGGCGGAGACCTTGCCACTCCGAGGAGCCATGTGAGCCCTTCCCCCCTCGACCCCAGGAAAGTCCTCCGGCCTTGACTGCAGCCCACCACTGCGCTCTTTGAGCTGCATCAAAAAAGGGTGGGGCACTGAGCCACAGCTGCAATCGGATGCCACCCGGGAGGATTTAAGAACAGCACAGTGGTCCACCCCAATCGCCACTCGTTGCCTCCAGCCCAGGGATCAGCTGGTCCCTGACGCGGGTTCCCCACCTCCCAGGCACAAGGAGGCGAGGGCAGCCTTTGTGGGCGCTCAGACGCCCACCGGCTAACCCGTGCCTCGCCGCACCCTGCGCGGTGAAGGGGCGGGCAGGGCGCGGTGCGCGTGCAGATGCGGGAGGCAGAGCTCCAAGCGCCGCGTGCCGGTCGCCACG